ATATATATATATATATATAATGACAGAATTCAGAATATACACGCAACTAGGTAATTATTTGACGAAAGTATGATTTAAACCACATAAAAATTAAATACTTTTTAAATTATGAGATATGTGTGTAATTATTTATGATAACAGAAGAGCCATGCATGTGTGTGTGAAAGTCAGAATATACACGTAACTAGATAATAATTTATGATAAGAAAAGAGCTATGATAAAAGAATCGCATGAAAATTTAAATATTTTTAATTAATAATGTGTTGTGCGTGTAATTATTTATGATAAGAGAATAGTGTGATGTGAGTGTGCAGGTATGCGATTTATTTAAGTGACTCTGTAATGTTAAATAATTTTTAATTCTTATTATTTATATGTAATTATACCATGAAAAGTTATTTTTCTTATTATCGTTGAAAGAACTTTCAAGATATAGACATTTTTTTTCTTTTTTGAGGTAATAGACATTCTTAATATAATGACCAAAATAATTGCGTGTTGAATGAATAAAAGAAATTGTTTTTTTTTTAATATATTTTTAGTTTCGTCTCTTTTAATAAATATCAGCAGATAAAATTAATGCCTGACTTGGTATGATGCGACCCGATAGTGATAAATATTAGAACTAAAATAGTTGTCTTATTTAGAACATATAGTCACAATTGTAGTAATCAGAAAAGGTCTCTCCAATTGGCTCTAGTCTAGTCACTCTAAAGAGAGACTATATTGTCTTCGAATATTCAATTCACACTAATTTTTGTTTGGTTGAGGAAAAAAAATATAAGAAAAATTAATAGTGAAGAAAAAAAAAGGAAAAAGAGGGTAAAAATTAAAGAGAGATTACTTTTCATTTGTTTGATAAAAAATTAAATTGAGTAGAAAATAAAAAATACAATTATTAAATACCCTGAATCTCTTAAATAAAAATGAAATTAAGAAAATAAATAAAACTAAAATATGTAATGTAAGATTTAAAGTAAATTTCAATATATATATATATATATATGAGGAGGGTTCAAACGACAGCGGTGTAACTTTTACTAAGTGTTACACCGCTCAATAACTTTATATTAAATGTGAATTTTAAAAATCTAACCGTTAGATGGAAAGTTCATATCTCTTAGATCATATATGTCAAATTTTGTTAAAATTAAACAACAACTTGAAGGTAATCAAAGTGTTAATATTTTAGAATATTTTAAAATGTATATATTACGTCAATTTTGTTTTATGAAAATGAAGTATCAAATCATCTTAGATTAATATAAAATTTGATATATATGATCTAAGAGATATGGACTTTCAATCTAACGGTTGGATTTAAAAAATTCACATTTAATATAAAGTTATTGAGCGGTGTAACACTTAGTTAAAGTTACACCGGTGTCGTTTCCTCTATATATATATATATATATTAAATGAAAAAGATATTCGTTAGATTTTTTTATTAACTTGACTTTTTATTTATTTATCAACATATGTAGTCTTCTACTTTACAAAAAAACTAATAATAAATATTTTTTATTAGAAAATTTAAAGTTTAAGAGTATGCATAATTGCATAGCAATGCATTTGCATCAAACACAATCTATTATTTAATCGGTTGGACATTACCTCATTGGCAGTATGCACTTTCAAGAAGAACCGTGAGACAGAGATTGTCAAGTTGATATCGATGTTATTACTTAATATGATATTGATTGCAAAACATGTTTAAGACATTAGACAACCTTATCTTCTTTGTAAAGCCACAAAGAATTGGTTGTACCTAGAGGCACTCACATCAAATGGGTGTTATTGTTATCGGATATAGGATTAAGCCAGTTTTATTATCAAGAAAAAAAATTAATGAACTTAAATTTCAAAACGTAAATTGGAACTTATTCAATTGAAATTAATTTGAATGGGATTTTTAAAAATATTTTTTAATATATAAATTTATCAAAATATAAAAAATGATTTAATCAAACATCAATATAAATACAAAATTTTAAATACACGTGTTTGTTTTGGAAAAATCAATACACGTATAATTGTAAGAAAGAAAGCTATCTCCTATTTAAGGATAAAAAAAAGATTTATTGATGATAAGTGTATATAAAATTATAAATACATATATAACGTTTAATTTAAATTGTTTTCTAAGTTTTATTTAATTTAACTGTGATTTGTTAATTAAATTATTTGTGTTGTGTGTTTTAATTTAATTAGTTGTTATTATTTGATTTTGATTAAATTTATTTTATTGTGGTAATTAGTTTATTGTTATTGTTGAGTTGTTTTAAAGGTTTTTTTTTTTTTTTTTTTTTGGATTTACTTAATGTGAGCCGAGTCTTTTTTATTGGTTTGAGAAAAAAGGTGGGTTGATTAAATTGTTTTAAGGAGGCAGGAGAGGTTCTCATCCTAGGATCTCATAACTTGTTTTATGAAAAAGGGAACAAAAGAGAAAAAAAAAAATCCTGCGTAACAGGCCTTGATTGAACCTTCCTCTCTCCTTTTCCCTTGCTCGTGAAGTTGGCCCTAATTAACTCCTAAAATTCTTGGGTGTTCTTGAAGTTGGTTGTCTTGTTTGGTTGTTGGTTTTGTGGCTAGTTGAGTGACTAGGGCTTTTTGAATAGAGTTGCCTGTACATAGTCTTTGGTCTTTCGTGTTTATTGGTTGTTTGAACTTGAGGGAGATAAGGGAAACTCACTTATTCTTTTGTTTATTTTGCATGTTGAAATGAGGTTTGAAATACACTAATTGATTGTCAAAATTTTTGTTGGGTGCTTGGTTAAGTTAGATGAAGTGAGCTAGGTTTTATTGCATTTTTATTAAGCATGGTTTTGGCTTCATGAGTTAGTTGATTTATGGAATTTTATCGTTTGCATGTTATTTTTGTGGTTGAAATCATGTTTTGTAATGATGATTATGTGAGTTTTGTTGATATTTAAATGATGTTAAATGATAATAATTGATTATGAATACTATTGATGTTTAGTTGTATATTGTTGATTAATTTGATGAAAGTTGAAAGTTGTAAAGTCGTACGCTATATAAAATGGTAAAATTGTGGACATGTGGTTAAGATACATGTTTAAGTTGAGATACATAGATGCTAGAGGTGATTTAAATTGTTTTGAAAGTTGTTTCGTCTATGTGGTTTTGGTATGGAAGTAATTGAACCATATCTTAGTTGAATGACTAATCGAGTAAAGTACAAAGTCATGGGTTAAAATTCCTAACCTAATATTGGAGGGTTGTGGTATTTGAGGAGTAGTTGATGAACTAATCCTATAGGTGGTGTAGTTAAGCTAGTTATTGTCATATTAGATTTATATGCAAATTGTTCTACTTTGACATAGTAACATACTTCCTTGTTTAAGTAACAAAGTCTAAGAAATCAAACTAAGTTATTTATAGTTGGTTCTCTTATGAGGCCTAACATTGTATTATAACTAACATGATTGAGATAGGTATATTGCTTTGATATAGTAGGGACAAACCACTTAAATTGCTTATTTCAATTATAGGATATCTCCTCAAATTGACATGAGTGATGGTGCATTAATTATTTATAGTTGTTATGTAGTAATTAAATTTGTTATGTTGAGATTGTCATACATGTTGTAAGTTGTATTAATTGTTGAAAATTGAGATTGATGTTGATTTAGTTGTTAAGTTGTTTAATTATTTTAGTTGATTAAGAGAATTATATTGTTATGATGATGTTGGATACATTGCTAAGTTGTTATTGTTGAAAGTTGTTTGATGGTTAAGTTGTGAATTATACTTTTAAGTTATATGTTGATTACTTATTGTTGATACTTATATGTGTTTTCTTGCGTAAGCTTACCCTTCTTTCTTCCTTGTGGTTGGAACTATCATAACCATACTTGATATGCAAGCATGATAGGATTAAATTTGTTGCCTGAAGCTTTGTTGAGTTGCCAGAGGCGATGTGCTTGTGTTGATCCCGTTATAGGAAATTTTTTTTGTTGTATAAAGTTTATGTTCATATTTTCTTCTAAGTTATGTACCATTGATATATTCTATTATGCATAATTAATTCATATTTCTACATATTTTATCTAAATGTTATATATTTAACTTTTGATAATTATTTTTTTCATTACAAGTGTAGTAATCATGGCGGGTCATTACAACATAAATAAATACCTAAGCGTATGTGAATGATGTTAAAAATGAGAGAATGAAAAAACAACTTAGAAAACTAAAACTTTTGTTTTATTTATTTATTTAAAAACTTCACTTATTTATTTGCAACTTGCAAGGAGAATAACGTGTAAAGAAATTTAAAAAGATGTATGAATCCCTCGCTATTTTACTTATCCACAAAACAAAAAAGAAAATAATTATTTGAAATAAATTTGTAATCATCTGCGTATCAATTTTCACTAAGAAATATATATTTTGTTACTTTAATGAATCAAAATTTCTATTTAATCAATAAAATAAAAATTTAACCAATTATTTAATTTTAAAAATATTTTTGTTGTAATCTTCTCTTTCATAATTCTCTAAAATCGTGTACTTTCATTTCTATTTTATTTTATTTATTTATTTTCTCTTATCTTATTTTTCACCAATTTTTTCCTCATGTTTTTGTGAAATATATTCCAAGAAAAAAAATTATTAGAATCAACTTGGGAACAGGGAGTTAAGAGTAATATGCACACAATATCTTATAACCAATTTTTTTATTATTATCTTGATATTAGAATATTTGAATGCTTTCAATTTTAATTGGATTCTTATAATTTAAATTTTGATACCTTGAATGGGTGATTTCATACGAGAAAGTTAAAAAGCAGTGAGGTATTGGACTGAAAACTGAAAAGCTGTGTAATGACCTTGTCTGTGGCCATCCTCAATTCTGATCCAATGCTACCTTTCAGCTTTTCACCATGTGACCTCTCTCTCTGTCTCACACTCTTTGTTTGTCCATGTTAGTATTCTGTTTTGTTCCATATTTTCGTTAATAAAATGCACCATCAATTATTAGGGAATAATCGAAATTAGGAATAAAGACCCGAATATGAAAATAACAAAACCCAAAACGATTTCCCTTTGAACGCAATAATTTAATAAAACCCCCATTCTCTCCAAATAATAATAAAAAAAAAAAAAACTTTGTATAAGGAAATGCTAACAAACAAACAAACAAAGCTCCTCCTGTCACTGTTTCTTGGTTTCCACTTCATGGCAAAGCAGGAGAGGATAGCACCCCCACAACCACTCTGATCCCTTCAACACCTGCGTTGGCTTAAATGAGATGGCTAAGCACAAGACAGCCCCAAGTAACAGGGGGTACTATGTCAAGATGAAGCTCCTTCACAAACATGGCAGACCCCAGCAAGACAAAAACTGCTTCTACAGATACTACAAATGCCTCCTCTGGCTCTCTTTCTCCCTCTACTTCTTCTCCTCCTACCTCATCAGCAACAACACCAAGTCACCCTCTCACCACGTCTCCAGAGCACTCGCCCAATCAGACAACGCCACACAACCTCTGAAAACTCCAGGTAAATGAGACTTGACTTGCATCACTAGGCCCACATCGAGAGGTGTCTTTTATATATGTCTTTTTTGGTTTCATTTCAGCAGGGACGCTGAAGAACCTGAAGGTGTTCGTTTACGACCTCCCTCCGAAGTACAACACGGACTGGTTGGCGAACGAGAGGTGTAGCAAACATTTGTTTGCGTCGGAGGTTGCCATTCATAGAGCGTTATTGACCAGCGACTTTCGCACGTTTGACCCTTACGAAGCTGACTTTTTCTTCGTCCCTGTTTACGTCTCCTGCAACTTCAGCACCGTCAACGGCTTCCCCGCGATTGGTCACGCGCGCAACCTCATCGCCTCCGCCGTCAAACTCCTCTCCTCGGAGTATCCCTTCTGGAACCGGAGCCGAGGCTCCGACCACGTCTTCGTCGCCTCGCACGATTTCGGCTCGTGTTTCCACACCCTGGTGCGTTTAACGTGTTCTGTTCCTAACCTTTTTTTTTTTTTTTTCTCGTTTGATTCGAAAAATGATGTTTTTAATTTCTTACGTGAAGGAGGACGTGGCGATGGCGGATGGCGTGCCAGAGATTATGAAGAACTCGATCGTGTTGCAGACGTTTGGCGTGGTGTACGACCACCCGTGCCAGAGGGTTGAGCACGTGGTGATTCCGCCGTACGTTTCGCCGGAAAGCGTACACGACACGATGGAGAAATCTCCGGTGAACGGACGGCGAGATATTTGGGTTTTCTTCCGAGGAAAAATGGAAGTCCATCCTAAGAACGTCAGTGGGCGTTTTTACAGCAAGTAATAATAATTGATATTTATTTATTTATTTATTTTTTTACAAAACTTAAATGCAGTTCCAGTTTCACCTTTCACGTGTTCATTTAGTTATTATTTTTTTTGCGTTGAAATGACTATTTTAACCTTGAAGGAAAGTGCGGACTGTGATATGGCGAAAGTTCAACGGGGACCGGAGGTTTTACCTGCGGAGGCATAGGTTGGGCGGTTACCAGTCAGAGATTGCGCGCTCCGTGTTTTGTCTTTGTCCCTTGGGGTGGGCCCCGTGGAGTCCGAGGCTGGTTGAGTCCGTGGCGTTGGGTTGCGTGCCGGTTGTTATAGCGGACGGCATCCGGTTGCCGTTTCTCTCTGCCGTGAAGTGGTCGGAGATATCGGTGACGGTGGCGGAGAGGGACGTGGGGAGGCTGGGTGAGATACTCGAGCGCGTGGCGGCGACGAATCTCAGCATCATTCAGAGGAAGCTGTGGGACCCAGCGACTAGAAGGGCCCTACTATTCAACAGCCAGGTGCAGGAAGGGGATGCCACGTGGCAGGTGCTGAGGGCTTTGAGCGAAAAGCTTGATAGGTCCTATAGGGGTTCCAGGGTTTCTCGCCAATTGGATTTTGACACGTCATGACTTGACAATACAATACACACCTGCATGGTCAATAATGAATAAATAACATTTAGTGGATGACAGCTGGAATTTCTTCAGAGATGGGATTGCATGACTCATGGTGGGGCCACAATGTATATTAATGGTGACATGGCTCCAATTGATTCCATGCTCATGCGGTATGGAAAAAAGGAGGAAATAAATTTTGTAAAATCATTTTTCCTGTAAGTAAATACTCCACTCTATAAAACATTATTATTCATTTGTTATACGAAGCAAGGATACAATACAACAATTACAGGGTTTTTGAAATGTTTGTGTTAGTGTGTTGATTTGTTAATAACTGGAAAGTGAGTAAAGGATGTGTCAGAACTCAGAAGGGTTGGAAAAACGAAGCTGAAAATGGGGTAAAGGGTGAATAGATTTTGGTGTTTGTCAGTGAAATGATTAATGAGAATGGAGGGTGATGGGGGTGTGGGGTGCTACTGTGTCAGAAGTGTCAGAATCTTATGGTCTTCTTGAGTTTTATATTTAAATTTTTTGCATGTTGATGTGAATGGGGGTGTCAGTGGTCACGGATGTTAAAGGGTGTCAAATTCAACGCAATGGGGAAACTAAATTTTACTAAATTTTAAATTTTAAAAAGTGAAACGAAAGGAATATTCGACTAAAATTACATTATTGCGTTCTTTTTATTATTTAAATAAGTCGTAAAAATAAATTTGAATCATCAATTCAAATATTTGAGGGCTAGGTTGTTGCTTGACTGCAGAATAGTGACATTGATGTCGAATTTGATGAACAATACTGACGTGTAAAATAAAATGAAAATGAAAAAGTACTCGTAAGTTGTTAATTGTACTGGGCATATTCATTTGGTAAGGTCTGCTTGATATAAAATTGATGGCTACAAAATTGATGTCACTGGAGAGTAAAAAATAAGCTAAATTGTACCATTATTGGATACGGCATGTTTTCAAAAATAGCTTTAAATTTCTTAGTGAATAGATTAATGTTAAAATATTTCAGATTAACTGGAAATATCACCAAAAATATTTTTAACAACTTGGAACAATCAAGAAATGGTGTTGGGTTAGCTGTAGATGTTAATCATTGCAAATTTCATATTATAAATGTCTAGTCATGTCACATGTGTGAATTGGGCTAATAAGTCTCATTAGTTGTCTAAAGAATATATATAGGTCCAATTTAGAATCTAGTTAAAAGTGGACCTGCATGCCCATTTCCTTATTAGATTGAGAGGTCAATAAGAGCATTTTTCTTTTTCTTTTTTCCTTCAAGAATAAAAACTATCCATTGTTTGGATTCACGTATTAGGTATGCCTACTTTTTAATCGGTTTAATGACAATTTTAATCTTTATTTTTATATAATGAGCGAGTTTTTTTTTAATACGTACTATTACGAAAAAAATATTTCGTATTTCTATGAATAAAATAAAATAAATTAATATTTTCACCAATTAAAAATGGATAATTTTTTTTTTGAAGAGGATAGATATTTTTAATATATATTTACCCTATTATATCCTTAAATATAAATTAATAAAAGAAATAAAATACAATACAAGATTACAATTGTCATTAAAAATATGGACATGAGATATTTCTTTATTATTACAAGATTACAATTGTCATTAAAGAAAGTTTCCTGCAATACTATAAATTTTATCAATAATTTTTCAGCTTTCAAATGCTCATCTGAAACATTGTAGATTATAAGTTTAATATTCAACCATACAAATCAACTTGTAAGGTAAGTATTGCCCCCAACTTATATACTCTTTAATTGTTTTATTTTCAATCGATGTGAGACTTGAATTTTTTTTAAAATATTAAATTTATAAATTTAATATTTTTAAAATTTTTCTTGCGAATTAAAATTGGTAGGAAAATTCGCAAAAAAGTTACTGGCAAAATTTTTCTACCATTTATTTTGGCAAGAAAATTTGCAAGAAACAAAATAAAATTCTTACAATATGTTTTGCAAATTTTTACCATGAAATTTTTTTCTATGATCATTAAATTGTAGCAAAATTTGCAAAAATTTCTTGTAGATTATTTTTCATAAAAAAAAAATTGTAAGAAATATCTGTAAATTATTTTTCGCAAATAAATTTGTAAAAGAATTTTTTGAAATTATTACTGCAAGAAAAATCGCAGGAAAAATCGCATGTAATAAGATAAATTCTACCAGTATTTTTTTACACAATAATCAAAATAAAACTCTCATATTTTATAAACTGTGTAAACATATTTAACTCTATTGCGATTTCAATATTAAATACAAATAAAAATGTAAAATCTTTGTATGTTTGCACATGGATCCAATGTGCAAAACACTGAAAAGACACAAATTATGTTCAACATAAATCGAACAATTTATTGCTTTCATGTTCAACTACTTTGAAAGTTAATGTCAAACCAAACATGCCCAGAGAGTCATTTGGCTGGGTACTCCTTACGCCTAACACAAGTTTTCATGCACGGGAATATTTCATGCTTCGAGACTTTCTCATACCCATGCATGCTAAAATATCTCAACACTGATTATTTACAATAACTTTTAAGGTTTATTTTATTTTATATATATAATTATGTTATTGGAGTCTCTTCTCTTTTGACCATTTTTTTTTTCTATAGATAAAACTCAACTTCAAAACTTTGCAAAACTTGTTTAAGAAAACTAAATCGAGTATCACTGAGATTAACAACTTCAACTTGGTTAATTATTAAGCTTTTTATGTTGTACCATCGTGTTTTATCCTTAGATAATAATATTCGCCAATCGAAGATTTGAGACTCATTTCATAAATTAACATGTTTCTGAATATTCTTTTTTTGTTACTGTGCATACTACACTACGTAAATCCACGACAACCACGAAAATCTAATATATGCATTGGGCACATTAATTTGTATTGGGCTGTGCCTTTTTATGAGAAATTTGTTTTCCAACAATTGACTTAATTCTGGGTCCAGGGTCCGCCTTTTCTCATGGACTCCTGGCCCAATATTGAACATAGCTTAGTAATTTATGTTTGGGGCAGTCACAAGAAAAGTTTAGACTTGAGTGCAATAAAAAATAAATAAGAATAAAAGTAATCCTCAACCTTTTGAGTATGTTTAGATAAATTTATCCAAAAAATAACATGAAATAAAAAAATGAAGAAAAAATAAAACAAGTTTCATAACACTATGAATTTTAGATGTTTTTAATTTAATTGTATATTGTTGTTAGTACTGTTATTTTAGAACTCCGGATTCAAGAAATCTTGAGGGTTAGGTTATCCTTGGGATAGTCTCAAGTATAATTAATCGTGTCAAATGTGTCTTCATTGTACTGGACGTGACTTAAGTTAGGAGGTTTTCTACCTTGATCACATTGAACAAGAGATTGATAGCATCGGACGTGAATCAATGAGAAGTCCTTTGACTTAATCATATCAGACATGGAATGAGTGGCACCAAGTGTGGGAACTTGAGAATTCTCTGACGTGGTGACGCTGAGCCCCATGGGTGTGGTGCCAAGCATGATCTAGCCAGTGGATCTCTAACTAAATGATGTCGAGCATAGGTTGAGTGACATTGAGCATGGGTTAGGTAGAAACTTTTTGCCTGATTGATGATATATGATGATGTTTAAAGTTGTTTATAATGAGTATTGATGAAGTTGTAACATTTTGATGTTTTAAGTTGTATGTTAATAACTAATAAAGTTGTAAAGTTATGTAATGCTATAGTTGATTAAGTTGTTAGACATGCGGTATAGATACATGTCTTTATTAATATACATAAAAACTATAAGAGAGTAAAAGATATTTTAGAGATTAAAATATCTCATTGTATGAATAAAAGTTGTGGTGCTCTACGAGCCTAATTGAGAAACCTTTAGTAAGTAAGTTGACTTTTGAATGGGTAATTGTTTTAAGTTGTCTCCTATAGGTTTTATGTGGGATCCGTATGCGGGTAAGGTCGAGACATACATATTTAAAGTGACAAACCGAGTAAAGTACAAGGTTAGAGACTTAATCCCTAATTGAGTATTAGAATGACATAATATTTGGAGGGTAGTTGATAGGCTAATCCCTTAGGAGACTTAGTGTTTCAAGTTAATATCGTGGTAGACTTGTATCCAAATCCTTCTACCTTAATAATAGTAATAGACTTCTTAGTTTAAGTGACGAAACTTGAGAAATCAAATTTAAGTTGTAAACACAACACTCTTTGAGGCTTAAGGTTGCCTATACCTGACTTGATTGTGATAGATCAGATGATGTGGTTCGGTAGGGTCTAGACACTTAAACTACTCACCTTTACTGTAAGAGATCTTTATAGTTTATATGACGAATATTAGTTGTTTGAAGTTGTTATGATGATATTGTTATGATGTTGTTTAAAGTTGTTGAGATGTTGGTATGATGATGTTGTTTATAAGTTGAAAGTTGATATGTAGAATTGCATTACATGTTGATTAAGTTGTAAGCTAATGTTGTAAATGTATGTTGATTTATTTTCACAAGTACATGGTCGAAGGTGAAAATCCATAACTAAGTGCTAGAAATGTGCATAGTATTTAGAAAGGTAATTGACAAACTAATTCCATATAAACTTATTTATAAATGTTAAGGTTGTGATAAACTCGCATCCAAGTTATTTTATCTTTGACAATAATATTCAACTTTATTAGTTTAAGTGGCAAAATCCAAGAAATTAATCATGTGTTGCAAATTGATATCCAGATTTGTTCTTGATCTAAAAAAACCAAAAATATTGCATTGTTAAGTTGATTCGACAATATCAAACCACTTAGACTACTAACATGTGTTGTAAGAGATCTCTTAGTTGGAATGTGTGACAACACATTGTGTAGTTGTGTTGCTATGTTGTAGTGTTGTTTAAGTTGAATTGTTGCTAAGTTGTATTGAATTGTAAGTTGATATGTTGTCTAATAATGATATTGTCGAGTTTAGAGTTTAATTGTGTTGTTTATTTACTAAGTTGATAATGGTGTTAAGTTGTAAAATTATGTTATATGTTGCAGTGTGTTGCTCAGGTAAGCTAGTTGTTATAGTGTTAATATGATAAAATTGTTAATATAGTCATATCTTACTTCTATATTATGTGTTGCTTTATTGTTTACGAGTTCACCTTTGCACTTTCTTGTTGTTAGGATTGTGATGTTTATATTATTACAAGAACAAGGCAGAATTAGACTAGAGGTCAAGTTGAGTTTTGAGGATTATAGTGTC